TTGGAGCGTGTTTAAGCACGGCTAGGTAGAAATATACCTAGGGTTAAGTCCTCTAGGGTTCGGTCTCATCCCTCGTGTCATGTTACATCACTCCTAGGGTCGGTTAAGTCTCTTCCGGGTAGGGTCGGTTTTAGACTCTTGTTATATCGTCTTAGGATGATGGAGTTAGATTGTCTAGCTCGGTATACCCCGAAAGGGGTATGGTGGAAGGACTAGGGGTCTCGGGCAAAACCCGAGAAATCGGGTTGCAGGAGTAGGCCAAGGACCAGGTGGAGTGAGTTGTTCCGCGGGTAGGTAGGGATCCTACATGGAAGATTTGTAGATCCCGGATGACGAGGTAGGGAGAGTCCGAGGTAGAAGGACATATGACCTCGGAGGAGTAACCGAAGACTGCTTCGGTTCTCGGTGGTAGGTCAGGAGGTGAGGTCTCCACATTTAGGTGGAGCTTCCTCGGGTAGGATGCTCAGGAGATGGTGTGAGCTGGGAGGTGTCGGGTCACCGGGTAGAGTCGGTGTAGGTTGGCGCTAGGACACTCCCTCTCGAGGTGGAGCACGTGCACTCACGTGTCTCTTATTCTCGGTGGAGCATCGTAGATGACTAGGAGCGTCTTCACGGGACAAAACCGTAAGACAATTCTAGTTGGCAGGTTAGGGTCCGAGGGTAGAAGTCGTATACCTATAGGTAGTGTAGACTTCACGAGGATCCGGGCTAGGTATCTAGCAGGTTTCGGTAGTATGACTCAGGGTAGTCTCGGGGAAAGTCGGGATAGACTTAGGAGACGGGTAGACGTCGGGTGTAATCCTCGGGTTAGCTAGCGGGTATAGTCTTGGACTTTACTAGGAGGGTTAGTTAGACGGTCTAGGGAGTCATACAACCGAGGGTAGCGTTTGCCGGTCGAGCAACGCGGGATAGGACTACGGTTCGAGTCTTATCGGGGTGAACGTTCTAACACGTTTACCAAGTGTTTCAGGTTTGGATAAAGTTGATCGGTGGCGGATAAGGCGACAAGGCATTGAGGAGTCATCGACGGGAGCTTCATCGGGTTCAAGGTGGCACATGACTAATTCCGGGACAGGTAAGTCAGGTAAGTAAGGTAAGTTTGCTTTAAATTCCGACGAAAGTCGAGGGATCGACGAAAGTCGATCGGTGCTGGAAACGGCGAATCCCACTAGTGTTTTATTTGTTATTATTTCCTTGCAAGTTCCTTTCTCCACCAAGGTGGAGATTGTTGGGCCCGCTCGGCCCAGCGGCCCAATTTGGTGGAAAAAGAACTCGGCCCAATGGCCGAAACTGTGGCGTTTTGAGCAACGGGTTAATGAACCCTAATACTCGACATTACGCGGAGCGTGGCGTGTGGCTCGAGGCAGAAGGTTCGAGAGAGAGACCGGAGGAGAGAAGAAGGCGATGACAACGACGGAGCTTCCCGGCGTCGGTGAAGCTCGGACTCAACGACGGCTCAAGGTAAGTGAGTCGAGGTCGGTAAGGTGGTTGTTCCTCGTCTTTCTTGGTTGTCTTCGGACTGGTTTTCCGATCGACGAGTCTCCGAGTTGTGGAGCACCGTCGGTTCTTGTTCTCCGATGGTTTCTTCCGTCTTCTAGTGGATTCGCCGGCACCGTCCGGCCGAGATGTAGGCCCGAGGAAACTCGGTAACCGAACTCGTTAAAACTCCGGTGTCGTTTCTTCTTCTTGCACGAACGAGCGTCGGAGTGGCCGTGAGAACTCGATACCGACTTCACAATATATACTCGATATTTTATTTTCACTGCAATAATTAAAATAGGAAAAATAAAAATTATTAAAGTATATGAGTAGTTTAGATGGGTTTATGTTGGTTTAGTTTGAAAATCAAACCAAATCAATTTTTTTTTTATGCAAACCAAATCATTTTGTTTTTGATAATCTGGAAATTTATGGGATTTTTAACCCGATTATTTTCCAAATGAAGATTTGAATTCGGGTTGAGAAGCACTTTTATTTTCTTCTTTACCTATTGAATCACCCAATCTTTGGATCAAATCAACATAAACTTTTAATATGATATGTTAATAAATTTTTTACATGAATGTATCCATGACCAAAGAAGTAAAATAAAAAATAAATAAAAAACGCAATAAAAATAGTATTACTGAATTGATAGCATCATAACCATTTTATTTCTTAGAATACCATGCATTATTAACTGTGTGAATTGCGATTGTTCAACACAAATTTTTTCCTCATTAATTTGACTGTGTATGTTATATATATATATATATATATATATATATATATATATATATATTGTGACGCACCCAAATAAATTTATAAGAGGGCAATAATATTAATAAACATATAAAATAAAATAAAAACTAATAAAATATATAATCATAAAAAGGTTTATATAATGATAAATTAAATTTTAATTTGAGGGCATTGAACAATTTTATCTAAAATTTTATAAATTTATAAAGAAATTTAAAATTTTAAGTTATCAAATGGGGTCCGTCCATATATATATATATATATATATATATATATATATCACATATTTTGCATCGAATATAGTAATAATATTAGGAATAAATGGGTATTTGAATTTATATAATATAGAGGATATTTATTGTAACGAATTGTGGTGTTGTCCGTCGTGTTGGTGGCTGTTTTTGCAGATAGAAACGAGGAATTAATATGCAAGTGGCAGTACAAAGACCCATAATATTCCCCATTTATATTTTTTGCCTCCATGCTCCACAATAAATGGTCGAGATTTTTTGTTTATAGTTAGAATAAATCATATACCCCACAAAATTGAATAAGATGTAAAAACTTTTAAGGAATTGAATAAATAGCTTAACGAAATGAAACTATTCTATACCCTCTTTCAACGAAAAATATATATGCATTATGAACTATTGACAAATGTAATTTCATAGGTATATATATATATATATATATATATATATCATAAAATAACAACAGGGTCTTATTTTCTTATTTTGTTGTGACATGTTCAATGTATTTATACACAATGCATCTTTCGCTGTTTTAAACGTTTTTTTAATTATATGTTGGTTCTTCTATTCATTTTTTTTTTTGGTATTTTCTCGTTGGGCCTCCAATTAAAGAGAATTCTAATTTAAAAGAAAACAAAAAAAAAATCGAAAGGATTTGGACCACCCTCGTAATTTAAATTTATATTTGTAGGTTTTGACAATCAGTGTCCTGCAAGGCTCTGAATTTTCTTCCCGTCGTGTTGGTTTGTTGTTGTTACATTGTATTAAAATTAAACATAAACTTTAGATTCGAATTCCAAAAATAAGTCACATCACAATCGGTAATATTGTACTACGTACGTAGGTCTAATAAGATCTACGTTTTGGACTACCATAGTCTATATATATCGGGGGTGTACCAACCAACAACAACAACAAAAAAAAAGACAAAAACGAGCTTAGGATCCGTAATCAAATGTTGTTTGGATCCCTTTCGGTCTCTCTACGGAACTCCAAAAATTTCATTGACAATAATCCATCATTTTGGTTAGAAAGAAGCATTTTCCTCAACAAGACTTTGTCACACCATATATAGTATATATATGAATTTAGACCTACATAGTGTATATATATATGTATGTATATTGTGCATATGCTTATAAATATTTACCAATGTGATTAGAAATATTTACAATGCCCAACATATACAATATGTTAGATAACCAATTGGATTTCGCAATTTCCATTCATTTTTGGCATTTGAATGGTTATAAGAAGACTAGGATGTGTTGAAATATAATATTTTTCGGTCCATTTCCAAGAAAAAAAAATTAATAGAAAGGGGCGAGCATTTGTGGCGTTGAAAAAAAAGAAGAATAAAAACTTTCGTAAGTGACAAGGTATCGTTGACGTTTCCGTACACATTTAGATTTAGGGCTTCCCAGTTCTTGAAAACCAATTTTTTTTTCCTTAAAAGAAAGAAGAAGATATTTGGTCATGCTTTTTAAATTTCAGATATTTCACATGTAACACAATTGTATATGGTTCTAATTATGAATACTTATATTTGAGATTTCGGATAATTCAAAAAATTACATAGTTAAAAAAAATTAAAGCAACGAAATATGCCTCAGACATATATCAAATGTTATAAATATCCGAAATTCAAAACTAACCCCCACACTAAAATTATGCTATAATTTTACTTCACAAACCCTATAAGTATTACTCAGTTGTTTTGTGCATATTTTATAAATAATATTATCCTTTCACAATTACAAAAAAGGATCTACAGAGTTGTAAATAATATTACACACACATACATACATATTATATATATATATATATATATCCTATATTCTAAACCAAATATTTGTATTTTAGGATATCTGGATTTTCTGTTCGATTATTGAATTAAGTTCACATTGTCAAACAGAGAATTCCTTCATATTCGGACAATTAAAAAAAAAAGGTGTAAGTTTATGAGATGTGTAAGAATTCAGACCAATAATAACACATTTTCACCACAGCAAAATTCATCACAACTTGTATCTATTATCACTTGCTTTTCTCAACATGAGAACCATCTACTGCGTTAGCGCTGTCACCTGATCGAGCAGGAGGAGACGCATCCATTGTCGAAATCCGGGCTGCGTACTTTCTGATCCTCATGGAAATGAGAACACTTGAAAATATCCCGAGTACCGGGAAAACATAAGCCATCAGTTGGGTTTTCGGCTGGCCAGCTGCTGAAGTGACCGCAATACTTGCGAGGCTTCCCACCGATGCGTTCTGTATGATCATCGGGAGGCAGCCCATGACCGTCGGGAGGAGGAAATCCGCCAAAAACCTCACCTTGGTGGCTGCCAATGCATAGTTTATGATGTATGAGGGAATAGGGGAGAATCTCGCGAGAAGGACAAATTTCCAACCATCGCGCTCCACCCCTGTTAAGAGCACATTGAAGTATTTGTTTCTCTGTGCCCATCCCATTGCTGAACTTGAACTCCTAAAGACTAACCTGATAAGATTCAAGTTCAAACAAAAATGGAAAGTGAGCACAATTCCTAAATTTCCAAGAGAGAAAAGAAAACTGCATATTATAAATCGAATGTCTCAGCTCCAGTGGATGCTTGGACTTTGGTGAATATAAGATTCTACATACTTAGTTCTCAAATACATCCAAGAACACCATATGTTCCATATCTGACACAAACTATCTTCAACTGATTTAAAATCTTGAGGCATTCATTTCCTTGATCTTTTGCAAGTGCATCCCTCTTCCTCTTAACCAGATAACCAGCAATGAAATCATGTTTTCATTGAAAGGTCACTTCCTATGGCACAACATTCGGAAATCGAGTAGGGAAACCTTGTAACATACTCATATCTTTACCTTTCAGAAGAATCAAAACCGATTAATAAGTATAATTGACTGTTGTATACCTCACCATATATATATATATATATAAAAGCTTAAGCTTCAAAGAAAAAAATGGGTTACATAAATTAAAGAAGCTAGCGTGAGCAATAGAAGAATTGATTTCAAGAAAAACACATGTATGTGCCCAATTCATTATTCCAAAGCTTGACAAAAGAGGAAGAAGATGGGTCGAAGAAAGGAACAAACTTTTCTTTTCCCTGTACAGACAAATGTTGTGATGAGTTCGGCTCAAGTTTTACGAGGAAAAAGAGGATTTCACTACTACATTGAACAGGGAAGAGACTCCCTTCCTCTAAATTCTCCGATAGAACTAAAACTAAGCCCTGATCATTCTTCCCTAGAAAAAGAATTCAACTTCGCCAAACCCTAGAAGCGATTCTGAAAATCAGATACAAACTACAAAGCAAGTCCGATCGAAACGGAGACAATGCGGATCACGAAACCAAACAGTTGCCAAGTTCGATAAGATGGAAAACCGATACAGAGAACATAAGGCAGGGAGGGAGGGGGAGAGACCTGCCGATCCAGAAAGAGAGAGAAGCTGCGAGGACTTTGGCGGAGAAAACACAGATGATGGCGGGGAGGAAGCCGAAGAATCCAGGAGCTGCAGACTCGAATACAACGGCGTAAGGGAGGCAGAGAGCTAGGGTTACGGTGTGGACGGCAACGTACGTCGGAATTGCCCAAATCCCGAGCCGCTCCGAGAGCTCCTTGAGCGCGTTCATCACCGGGCCAATGTCCCAGCCGTAGTGCTTGGTCCCTTGCCTCAGAACCGCAACTACCGCCACGGCCGTCGCAATCATCCACCATTTCGCCATCTTCCGCGATCGTATAGATTCGAGCCAGAGCAATTGAAGGAAATGGAGACAGAGGTGGTAAAGTGCAGTGGGCTAAAATGGGCTGTTTTTGTTTGTTAAATTGATTTGTTTATTTTCATTAATGGGCTCTTTATTAACCTTTTACGGGCTTTATTTTTCTCTTTTTCTTTAATCTCCTCGGCCATGGATGGGAAAACTTAGAACAATTTGGTAGGGAAATAGCTGATATACCCTCTCAATGCTATTTGTACTTTTAGTAATATTCTCGAAACAAAAAATTAAACAAAAAACAAGACATAAACACGCTCAAATATTTATAAAAAGACTAAAAACCCTTCTTTTTTTAATTTAAAAAATTCAAAATAAAAAAATAAAAGTAACAATTTTATTATTTTCTCTCGTAGCTCTTTTTTCTCTCTCCTACATTTCACCATTTTTATTCTGTCTCTAAAAAAATCAAAGATTTTCATTGTTAAATCTCTATTTCCCTTCAGTTTTCTTTAAAAATTTTCGTATTCTCTTTAAATCTTCGACTAGATTTGAGATTTAAAGAAGAAAAAATGACGATAACGAAGAACATGACTTCAAAATCATCTTTATTTTATTTCACCTTTATCATCTTTATCCGTTCTCTCTCTTATTTTCATCTTCCTCTTCAATTTCTCTTTCGTTCTTTCTCTCAAAATCATCGAACTCTCCTCCTTCTCTCATAAATTTCGTTTACCCATCGAAATCTTAGGTTACATCAGAGATTGAAAGAAAAAGTAACGACGAGAGCAAAGAACATGATTCAAGTTCATTTTCCTCATAATCTTCGAACTTGAATGAGAACTGTATGGTAATTAAATTTCGATTTCTTTTCAGATTTGTTTGATTTGAGATTTCTTTCAATCGAATTGAAGGTGGCTTCGAGATTTGACCGATAAAGTATTAGAGTTTTGGATATTTTTGAAATTTTAGAGATTTTGAAATAAAATGTTGGGTTTGTGGTTAAAATTGAGTGAAATTGGTGGGTTCCGGTCATAAAATTATTTAGGACAGTCATATAGGTCACAATACCATATGGGTCGATGTTTGGATGTATGGATGACATGAGGATTCAAAAGACAAGGTCACACGGTCAGAGTCATAAAGCGGTTGTGGAAGTCAGGACTGGATACATTACGGAGTCCAAGTTTCGGGAAAGAGCTTATGTCAGACGGAATATGGATCACAGATATTGTAAGTTTATACGGTCACATGGTCACATGATCACACAATCATATAGTCACATGGTCACACGGTCACATGATCACATGGTCACATAGTCACATGGTCACAGTGTCACACGATGATATCTGGATAATATTGCTGGCATATGTTATGTCATCTCGTTCCGACAACGTGTCTCTTGGCTAGATCAAAATCTTTCTCTGATGGTGATGTACTCGATATTTAGTATGTGGAGGGACTACCGCAAAATGATAACGGTTGTGAATACGGTGCTTTTGTAATCAACTATGTTGAAGCGATTTATAGAGATAAAGAGCGTACGTTGTGCCCCTTGATATGCGACGACAATGTCATGTTGATCCGTGAAAAAGGTGGTGACTACAATATTTGTCCGTGGTAGGGTTCAGAGGTTTCACACGAAGAAAGTGCTAACTTTTATGTTACCAAATGCTTTGTTTATTTTGTTTTGAACCCTAATTATGATCTTTTTTGTTTGTTTGATAGTATGAAGTTTTATTTTTGGTTTTTGTTTATTAAAAATATAAATTTATTTATATTTTAAAGAAAAATTTGGGTTGAAATTGTTGTAGAGAAAATTTTGGACTTAAAATGTTGGAGGGAACATATATACGATTGAATTTAAAGTGGAGGAAAAAAATGTCTCACAAAAAAACTGCATTTTTAGATGATTTTATGTGAAAGTGCAGTACACCAAAATATGTTGAATTTTGTTAATAAAAAATCTGAATTTTTTAATATTTTACAGAAAATACTGGTTAAAAATGTTGTAGGTAAAAATTTGAGGTTAAAAATTGGGAGGAAAAAATATAGGGTTAAGAGAAAAATTATATAGGGTTGAATATTCAAATTGGGTCCCACATTAAAAGTAAAAATAGAAATAATAATTGTGGACCCCACAAAACATAAAAATATAGTGAAATTCTGACTAGTTCTTTGTGTGGATCCCACGATACATTTCGGTCACAATGAGTCACAGTCGGTCACAACCAGTCACAACATTCGATCTATGCGATTTTTGTTAATTTAATCACTTTACAACATCTTTCATAAACCTATTTTATATTGTTTCGAACATTAAAATATGGTTTTTACGATTTTTATGTTTTAAAGTTGTTCTTTCAAATCTGTTCCTATATGTTTTATAATGTTTTATGAGTATTTTTGATAAATTTGGTATATTTTATCTATAAACCCCTTTAAATATTTTGAAAATTTTTCACACACTATATATTTGATATATAAACTCTGATAAACCACTCCAAAGTTTAAAAATTAAATTTTGGCCTGTATTTATCAACACATTTTGGTCACGGGTCACAGGATCGGTCACAATGGTCACACAGTGCAAAATTGCACTTCGGTCACATGATCACAGGCTAGTCATAATGGGTCACAACGATGACTCATATGAGTCAACTTATTTAGTGTGTAACAAGAGTCACATATATGCGAAAGTAAATAGAAATTATTGGGTAGCTAAATTTACTCAGAATTATTTTAACACTTATTATACAAAAATTTTAACACATTATTGTACAAACATAATGCAACATTATTATACAAAGATTTTTGGACATTATTATACAAAAGTGTTTTAACATATTATTACACAAATAAAGTACACTATTATTAACTAAATTTTGTCTCTTTCTTCATTCCAAATTAGGCGTATTCTCCGACATTGTCGATGTTGATGTTCCTTTTGCATAATGGTGTACTGTATTTATATAATAATGTGTTCATAAATAAGTTCAGATACAAATTAGGCGTTCTCTCCGACAAGTTCATAAGTAAATCCAGATACAAAATAATCAAAAACAAAAAAATGAAAGTTCATAAATTAGAGTTTTACGAAACAAATAAAAGGGAGTCATAGTGAATGTCCAAACACAAAAAACAAATCATTTGGTCAAGTAAAAGTTCACGCTTTCTTCATCACCTTGCCATGAACAATTATTGCGGTTGCCAACTGTTCATGGATTATGGAGACATTGTCGCACATATCAAGGGGCACAACGTTTGTTGTTTACCAAGATAAATTGCATCAATATACTTTATTGCAAAAATACCACATTCACAATCGTTATCATTTTGCGGTTTCTCTCTCCTCCCGTTGTAGACTTTCTCTTAGCATTCATGTAACACTTTGTATACGGTGTTAGGGTTTAAGGGCTATGTGGCTATGTGACCATGAGACCGTATAATCGTATGACCATGAGACCGTGTGACCGTGTGACCGTGTGACATTGTGACCCTTATGACCTATGTCAACCATTATCCTAATGGCTCGTGACCCATATGACTATGTGACCGTATGACTATGTAACCTTTATGACCCATCTATTGTGATCCGTATTATTGTTGTAATCCATGACCGATATGCACATTGTTACATTTGTGTTCTATATGTCCATTCTGACTATTGTGATAGGTAAACTGTGTAACCCATGACTTAATTATATTCTAAAAATACTTAAATATAGATTTGACACAGATCTATGACAAAACTTAGTAAATAATAAAAAAATACAGAAAAAACGTTAAAACCATCAATATTCATAAAAAAGACTGGGATTTCGATCACCGCTTGTATATTTCTAAGTTTCTATTTGATTTCATACAGATTTTGTTATGATTTCGTCAAATTTGGAAGGAAAAACCTCAATTTCAGAGGAGAAAGAAAACAATTCAAAGAGAGAAAGTTTCATCGAAAAAGAAGCATGGAGAAAAGAGAAATCCTAGTTGAGGAGGGAGAATACTAATTTTGATTTTAAAAAATAAATATAAAATAATATTACAAAATTATTTTGGTCAATACACATTTGAGATGGTATTTTAGAAGTAAAAAATTTTTTTTGGATAAGAAGAAGATAGGTCTAAAAGTCCGTTTAACACATTGAGAGTAAAAGGGATAATGCCCCATTTGGTTATGGTTTCGATTTATTCCTTTTTTATACATTCTATTTTTTGTTATAATCAGAAATTTTGATCCAACTATATCTTCCAAAACCCAGAGACATACTTGAAATTACGCACTTACTCTCCAACCCGATGCTCGAACATGAAACCTTTAGAACAAGTGATACGTCAACCAAGTATCCGGCGGATATCTAAACCCCTGCCGCATTCTGCGTGAATCCTACAATTCGGATACCGACCTGATCGAAAACCGAAATCGACTACACCGAATACCCGACTGATCCTAACAGGCTCTCATGTTCTAAGGAGAGAGAATTTGTCATGGGATGTAAGAACATTTTAACATTTTAAAGTTACGAGGAAGAAAGCATTCTTTCTTTGCACATAACCACGTTGACATTGATAAGTTTTCACCAAGTGATTGACCTTTTAGGACACCGGATCTTCTTAGTATTGTTGTCCAACTCAAAGTTTGCTCGGGCGAAATCGTTGCTCGAGAAAAACGCCGTTAGATCAGTGATATCGTACTCACGAGCCTGCATCATCGTCATAATCATTGTGCAAAATATATGAAGAGCTCTTTTCTTGATTCCATCCATAAAAATATGGGTTAAATATCGAACTTTGGTGGTTACCTTTGTATGCAGATCTTCAACCTTCACCTCGATATAAGCCGCCCCTGAACCAGGTCCTGATATGATTTCTTCGAATTTCAAAGCATTCTTCACGAGCTCCTTGAGGAGTACGAACAGCAATGCATTGTAGTCCTTTTTGTACGATATGTATTTCTTGAAGCTCTGTTCAAAAGGGGACGTAAATCAAGTTTTCACCAAATCCGAATTCATAATACTCCCCCTTGTGATCAACTATAACTAAAAACTATACTTAATTCAGGTTCTTGCCGAGAATCCGATGTAGTAAGAGAAACGAGGCGAGGGCATATACAGGAGAGTTGAGGCGAAAATACCTCTCTGAGAGCTTTCTGAACACCAAACTTTTGAGTTGATATGAAGGAACCAAGAAGGACCTGAATGGCCATATTAACATCTTCTTCTTTCACATGTTGCCGAAGATGCATTCTGGCGTGTGCTTCGGCCATTCGGATCATGGACTCGAGGTGCCTTGTGGCAATAGAAACTCCTTGTCCATTCTAAAACAAGAAAAACAAAACAAATCATGACAAATTTGGTAAAGAAATTCACCCTTCATCACAGTTAAGAAAGAATGTATGGAGCAGAAACTTTACCATTGAATCTCTTCTCAGATCGGCATAAACGTTCTCCAGCTTTTTGGCATCTATTTCGTGCAGCTTTGGGAACACATACAACTTTGCATATGTTATGTATTTCTTCAGGAGATCCTGGGGAAGTATCTGTATAAAAAAAGGAAGACGAACCATGGGATCATGCAAGGAAAAGTTGCAGCAACATGTGATGTTCTACTCATAACTTAACTACACTCACAAACCTCTGGATCTGTGGAGTTAGCAGATTCCTGTATGTTTCGGGAGATGTCTTCCATCTTTTCACCTTTGGGTTGTGATTTGAAGTGACTGTCGACAACGAATGACGCAAGCATTTCGTCTGTGATTGGGTCGACCACATCCTGCAGCAACCCATTACAGATTTGTCATGCAAACTGTAAAACTTCATCATCAATACCAAAGGCGAAAAAGAGAGCCTAGGTGTTCAGACAGACCTTTACTACGCATAAGATATCAAAACGAGAAAGGATTGGATCTGTCAACTCGACATTTTGTGCAAATGTCTTGGACGAATCATACCTGAAATGACAAAGAGTCAAAGACCGGAGAAAGATTAGAAATTGGTTTCGATTCAATCATCAGTTCAGCAG